TTTTCTTTAATTAAAACTTCTTTAATTGATTTGGTGATCAAAAGTCTTATTTTTTGGTGATCATTTCACTGCTAATAAATTTGGTGATCAAAAGTCACTTTTTTGGTGATCAAAAAAATTGATACCCCTCGATTTTTGTATGTTTTAAATCTCTCATCTCTCGATACCATTTGTTCGTTACTTCTCGCCCGAATAAATATCATCAAAAATTTTCACGAATTTTCCATTTGAAAACAATTTCAGTTTATTCTTCACGAATTATAGAACAAGAAGAAAACAATTAACAAGAAATGCACAAGGATAAAATCAACTTAACTGGATCGAAACTGAACAGTAATCATCAGTGGGAGTGAATATTTTCAACTTTTCCTCTTCTTTTGTGTTCAACAAAAGGATCAAGATATATGACCGTTAGGATTGTCCACTGTAAAATCAAAGATCAGCGACCTCTATTAACATTCGCTTCTCTTAACCTTCAAGGTGTCTCTTAACTCTACGAAGACTTCTGATAGGTCAAGCTCCCATTAATAGGTTTGTCTATCTTCAATTTTATCTTATGATTGATTGACTGCTGGCAGAAAACTAAGATGAGAACTAGCTCAAAATCCTCATCTTCTATACGTTTTTTCGACATAATTCAAAAGCATAACGTCATGCTCTTTTTAATCTCATGTCACTACTTAAGGCACTACTTGAGGGCCCCCCTCAGAAAAAAACTTTTTGACTTACATCCGATTTTGATCAAACTTTCAGCAAATGTTGCACACTCAAAGGTGTGATCACAATATTTTTTTTTACCCTCTGTCTGTTACTGTTCCGGAGTTTTCAAGAGTCCAAGGCCGCAAATCATCCTTCACTGTAAATCTCTTTTCCTTAATACAGCTCAAGATCGAGATCTCGGGTTGATTTTATTTTAAACCAGACATCTAGCTGGGAGGACTGATGGGACCAGACTTTTTAATTAGACCTTTGTTGGTTCTCTAGAGACGCAAGATCCTAAAAAACCCTGAAATTTTTCAAATTTCAAATTTTCCGAAGTTCCTTTTTTCCTAAGAAATTAAGGCCTAATTAGAAAATCTGCTCCCATCAGTCCGTACAGGATTTTATGCTCGTTCGATTAAAAAAAAAAATTCTCTCTATGAAGCACCGTCATTAAGAAAAGGAATCTACAGTAGACGAGGTTAGACAAAAAAACGTGTTTTGAGAGACAATGCTGTGTATTCGTTGGGCTGTTTTAGGACATGTAGGAAAATGCTTGTAATTTTTGAACGCAAGTCCATACAGAGTTGTGCAACGTCCTATGTTGATCAAAAAAATCTGCTCTACAAATCTACGTGTTCAAAATTTACTTGCTTAAGTATCCAGAAAAAATTTATTATTTGAAGATCCTGGTTTTCAAGGCTTCTAGAAAACTTGTTCGAAAACCACGTAAAATCAGTTCTAGACCCGAAAGCGATACAGTTTCTGAAAGTAGACACTCCAAGCTATCTTTCCATATGCTTGTTTCCAAATTGACTTTTTGATACAAAAAGATTTCATTCGGTGGGGGGGGGGGGGGGGGGGCGACGCGGGGGGGGATACAGGGAGATTAGAAAGGTGGTGAGCGGCGTTATCTGAAATTAAAC